TGTGTGTGTGTGTGTGTGTGTGTGTGTGTGTGTGTGTGTGTGTGTGTATGTGTGTGTGTGTGAAAGAGACAGACACAGAAAAAAATAAGAAAAACAAAGAGAGGAGGACGTGCTCAGTGTTTTCCTTTCCGTCATAAGAGTATTTTCTTCAATCTCTTTAAAATGCATTTCATTACGTCGTCCGTAAAACAAACCAAACTCTTTCACATGTGAAACACACACACACATACATACATATACCTCATATGTGAAATATTGTTTTAAATGTAAAATATCTGTAAATCACATGTTCCTGTACCATGTTATGAAAACCACATGTGTATGTACGTTTTTGCACATGTGAAATGATGCTCCATGTGTGATTAATATGTACAAGATACTTTTATCACATAAATATGACGTTTGTGTGCTTAGAATTAGTTCTTCTTCACTGATGTTACAGTAAAGCGCTTTGTAAACGGCCTTAAAATGGTGCTGTATAAATAAAGTTTTACTTCCCTACGTTGCGATATACAGAACACTAAGCTTTGTTAACTATAAAAGAAGATTTTCCTGCGGCCCACATGAACTAAAACTGTTCTTATAATATATATCTATCTGGTTCGGTTTGGGTTCCTCGTCATGGTGGTCTCAGGTTCCTATCCGCCCTGAAGGGTCCAAGTCCATTCAGCTCATGGAGGATTAAATGATGCTCCCTCTCGTACGACCAGATAATTAAGAACACAGCTCGGCCTGACGGGAATCAAAGATACAACTGAGGTATAAACACAGTCGAAGAGAACAAAAAGAGAGCGAGAGAGATCAGAGGGGTCTGGGGAGAAGAGACGTCTGACGAGGGGAGGAAAAGGAGAGAGGAAGATATGAGGGGGGAGGAAGAGAAGGAGGAACAAGGGGACACGGAGAGAGAGAGAGGACCCGTCTGGATCCCATTTAGAGGATAGTAATGCGATTAGCTTTGTTTAGTTTTCACAGCTCCAGCCAGTCCACATGAAAAACCTCTGTGACTGTCTGTGTAGTGTGTCTTGTGTTTGCTGAGCTTTATGTTTTATTCCTTATGTTCTTCTTAAAGAAACTCAACTAGAGACATTTACACATGACGACGCTGCAGAACTCAAACACCTACTGATCCTTAAAAACACACACGATTAGACGTGAAACGCTCTTCTTTCCTTCTGTGATTCTGGAGGGTTTCTTGGTGGCTGGCACAAACCCCGAAAAGTCAAATAAAATTCAATTAAACCTGATCCAAAGGGAGCATTCGGTCCAGGATATGTTCATGATATTGTGTCCAATATGAGTCTGAATGAATGTAAATATGGAAGGCAGTTATTCAGGACATTGTTTCAGTAAAACAAAAAAAGACAAAAGGAAAGATTTAAACATTTCTAAGCTTTTTGAAAGGAAATTGTGGTCGATTTTATTTGGGTTGGAGGATTATACGTATCTCACAACTACGTACGACAATGTGCGTGGTGAGATGCAATGACATTCTTTTAGTTTGCAATTAAAAAATAAAAATTCAGAATTCGATGCAGTGAAGTTGATAAAAACACCCCAGGGTGGTTTATCAGAGATATTTCATGCTAAAGAGGGAAGAATTCTGATTATCTTGGTATATTTAATTCTGCATCACTATTCTCAAAAACAAAACTGAAACACCCGACTAGAATATGTGAAAACCAGAGATTATTAACGCAAAGGGATCATGAAAGTGAGATTGTGGAAGATTTATTTATGGCGGGACGTAATCTCAAATGTTGGCTTCACGGGATGCAAGAAGATCGATATTGTTTTACTCTCCTCAAACTGCTTACAATGAGCTTAACCCAACGATATAAATGTTTAAAATGTAATGAGGAAGTGGGCTCATTTCTACACGTTCTGTTTGATTGTACCCAAAAGAAAACATCTTAGAGAGGTTATGAGCTCCTCGTTAACAGGATATTATATGAGCTGTTTTTGACTGCCTGTTTTTGTTTCTGTAGCATTCTATTGTGTTTGTTCCCGTCTTTTTATAATCTTTTATTTTATTTTTACTGTCACAATAGTGCTACTAGTACTGTCGGGCTGGGCGATGTGGCCCGAAAATCACATCCAATTTGAATGGATTTATTTTCTTAAAAACAAACTAGGCTTGCCAAACGACAAAGAAATGATTAACTTTCACCAAACTTCCCATATTAACGGATAAACTAAAGAAAAAGTGTTGTATCCATGGATAACATGACAGTGTTGCCATGTTGATAATTTACTTACTCGATTCATCGCCCATCTCTGCTGTGTTGCGTAATATCAAAATGTTAAAACGAATAAAGTCTTGATATCTCTCCCGTCTCTTGTCCAGGCATCATCAAGGTGGGGAGGTGGAACCCGCTGCCCGTCCACTTCCTGACGGACGCGCCAGAAGCCACCGTCGCCGACATGCTGATGGAGGTCTACCACATGGTCACGCTACGCATCCAGCTGCACAGGTCCGACTGAGCCTCGGTCACACTTCTCCAGACGTATTCACGACCTAGAATAATGATTCGGTAGATTTCGCGAGGAATCGTGTGCGAGGGAAGAAATCTCTCTGTGGAAAAACAACAATAGGAAAGATTGCTCGTTGTTATTTTATGCACACAGGAAGGATTTAAAAAGAGTGCGGTTCCACTTAATCAGACACTTGGTCCGCCGATGTCATAGCAGCTCATTGCAGTTCAATAATTTACCACATCTATCAAATGTAAAGGCAGCAACATTGAAACACTAAACAACGCAGTGGGGATTCATCTATTATCTGTCTCCGTCCGCGTGCCAGGAACTCCTAGTTCCCTCGAATAGGTGCAGCAGGATCTTGATGGACGGATAAAAAAACCAGATAAACTCCAGATGAGACGCTCGTTATTATTGTTGTTGTTGTCTTGGAACATACCAGCCAGGTTTGTTTATGTGTTTACGTGCGTATCCTTGGCGATGGCAGAGCTTTGGCACACTTTGCGTGTCGCACAGTCGGAATGATTCATTTGAGGTTGAAATAAAGAGATTGTTGGACCATACGGGAAGGAGTGGGTTAGGGGTTGAGGTTAATACAGGATGTTTGAGGGCTTCATCTGGGATTAAAGGAAACGTGAGATGAGAAGATTGATATCACTCTCGTGTCTGTGTGGTGAACGTCAACATGCAGCTGTTTAGCCTAGCTTAGCATAAAGACTGCAAACAGGGGGAAGCAGCTAGCATGGCTCTGGTTGAAGGCACCTCTGAAGCTCAATACATGCAGATATAGTTATTGTAAATTAGTTTGATTTCTTGGGATGCAACTTTTAGTTTTTACTCTTCTGGGGTGTTAGATGGTTTTTATTACCTTTGGACAAACTGAGAAGGCTAGCTGTTTCCCTCTGTTTCCAGTCTTTATGCTAAGCTAAGCTATCAGCTCGCTTACTTTTCATATTTATTGTAAAGACACGAGAGTGGTGTCAATCTTCTCATCTAACTCTCAAAATGTCAAAATCTTCCTTTGACTATCTCTGCTTTGGTAATGTTTAGTCCTTTTCTTATTGCCTTATTGAAGGTGTAACTGTAGGTTGTTTTGTCTCGTCGTAGTTTTTCAAAGCTGGAGGATCTGCCCTGTGAACAGTGGAACCACGCGACCGTCAGGAACGCTCTCAAAGAGCTGCTGAAGGAAATGAACCAAAGCACTCTGGCCAAAGAGTGTCCTCTGTCACAGGTAACCGCTGGATTCTGCTACACAACAACAACAACAACAACAAGACATGGAACCGCTTGTTCCGCAACTGTTCATCAGTTTAATAATCCTCTATATCAAGTGTCAGTGTGTCTCTTTCACTGATTAGAACCTCACATCAGCCTATATTTTAGGGATTATTGCTACATTTTAATCAAACTCCACCCCACAAAATGATCTCCTCAATCATGTCAACCTCCCCAGCTGCATGATTAGCCCTCCATCCTGGTCTCATGATGTGTGTGTGTGTGTGTGTGTGTGTGTGCACATACTGCGTTTTAATCCAGCTCTGGTGGGGGTGTTGATGGCTGCATCAATTGCAAGCATATGTGTGTGTGGCTTGAGATTCACTCTCTCTGCACTCTACTGGCTTTAGTTTCCATGGGTGGCTTCCAATCATGATTAATGTTCGTCTGTTTCTATTGTGTGTTTATGCGAGCATGCCACGAGGTTGTTGCGTGAGTGCAAGCATTTCATATCATGTTTGGTTATTAATTATCCTTCCCTCTCTCTCTCTCTCTCTCTCTCTCAGAGTATGATTTCCTCCATAGTGAACAGTTCCTACTATGCCAACGTCTCCACTGCTAAATGCCAGGAGTTTGGTCGTTGGTACAAGAAGTATAAGAAAATCAAAGGTGAGCTTTCTCTCGGTGCTCTTACAGTTGAGATAAGATATGATGGGACTTCATTCACGTCAATGAGGGAAATTGTTGAGCAGCAGTTGCAGTATAAAGTTAGGAAAAAGTGCAAATATATAAGAAGGTGCGAATCCAAAATAAACACAATGCCAGGATTATTTTTTGGTTTGTTTTTATAAGTAATTTGTTTTGTACAATTTAAAGTTGTTACAGAAACAACGATCTGACACTGAGGTGTCACAGAGTTCACATTAAACTCACATTTGGAGTGATATTTAGCCCCTTTCCCAGTAAACCAGCATGACATGTTTGGTATCAACGGATTCATTGCAATCTCAAGATTCAGACGATTCCACTTTAAAAGTGAAACCCGCATCGGCTTTGGAAATACGGTAATGCCAATCAGATAATCCACCATCACTTTCTAAGTAAACCAACAACCGAGGAGAAAAATAATTCCAAGTTTAAGATCACGGTGATCAACAAGGCACTCACAATCTAATTAAAATATAACCTATATATATATATAAAAGGGCTCACAACGTGATATTTCTCTAATATTTTGGAAATGTATAATTTTACATAGTATAGTAGTTCAAATTAAAAAGTCTGAGAAGAGAAAAATCACCTTTCTGCAACTCGTAGCTCCGGTTAAGATGACGTGCAACTTCTCAAAAACGTATCTAAACTAAAACTAAACAGGATTATAGAGGCTGCCGAGATACCACAATCTGTGATTGGTCAACTTGAGTTGCCTGTGTTTTCTCCTACAAGCTTCTGATGCCGGTAGAGATTGTTGATACATTAAGAAGTTGAACATCTCTCTCTCAGCGGATGAATGAACATAAACACAGCGCATGGCAGCGGCCTCCTATTCAGTAAAACACGCTCTCTATCATAACGTAAATAACAGAACGTAAACACATTAAGTTGTGGGTAATATAATTCATGCGCGGTGGCTTGATCACAGACGCTGCTGGGGTTCTTTTTAACGGGTGAAATCCAACACTGGATCATAAATCAAGACCAGTGCTGTAGGTTTCTATGACTCCTTGCATGAAGTATAAATCCTGCTTCAGACATGCAACCTGTGGTGAAGGGTAGAAGTAAATATGGCTTTGTATAGGAGGTTGAGAACCACGGATCGATGTCTATCTGCAGCTGAGATATTTAGTAGCATGCCGGTTAAAGGAAGAGGGAGAAACTCTTTACCTGATCATTTTATGGGCCTTGAGGTGAGATTGTTGGTCGTGTATGTAGATCAGCAACATCAGGACCTTCCCTCTCTGACTGATTTCCTACGTGTGTTTCGTTGAGCAGTAGATTACCTGGAGAAGATGTGGTCCGGACGAGACGCTGCTGACATCAAAAGTAAGTTAACAAATCTTCCTGACTCCGTGCTCATGTAACCGTGTTTGTTTGACCGCGCTCACCATCCTGTCTCCTCTCCAGTAGAGAGAGACAACATGGCGGACTTCTGCGTGCTGGGACAGAGACCTCCTCCTCACCTGGCCGGCCTGTCCCAGCTCAGTCACCTGGGAGCCGGCAGCCCCCTCCTCAAGGCGGGGTCCGGGGATCTGCATTCGCCCTCCCAGCCGCTTCAGCAGCAGCCTCCATCCCAGCAACAGCCCTCGCCCCACGGCCCCCACCACCACAGCCCTCCTCTCCGCACGGGCCAGGTGCCTCCTCCGCCGCCCCCGCCCGGCGCCCTGCAGCCCCTGCTGGGGCCAGGTGGGCTGCTCTCCCCTCAGCTCTCCCCGCAGCTGGTGCGCCAACAGCTCGCCATGGCCCACCTCATCAACCAGCAGCTAGCCGTTAGCCGCCTGCTGGCCCATCAGCACCCCCAGGCCATCAACCAGCAGTTCCTCAACCACCCGCCCATCCCTCGGTGTTCGTCCAAAGCCGGCGGCGACCATCCCGGGAGCAACCCGTCGGCCTCCGAGGTCTCCTGTGAAATCTACCAGCAGGTCAGAGACGAGCTGAAGAGAGCTAGTGTCTCCCAGGCCGTGTTCGCCCGTGTGGCTTTCAACCGCACACAGGTAGGAAAACAGGACAGACTGTGGTCAAGAAAGGTTAGGAGACAGTCTGCAAAGTGTAAATGATCAGAGAGAGAGGAGAGGCAAGGATGAGAGAGGGTAGCTTCAGGTGACATTAAAAAGGATTCAGATCATCTGAATATTAATATTTATCATCTGACTAAACGGATCACAGCTCTCGTTCCCCAAAACATCTCAGGTTGAGGAGAGATAGTTGCCGTATTTGATAGAAATAAATAGAAGCTGACGTCGCCGATAGACTATAATTTGTCACCCACCTCGCGGTATTTTCAGTGGGATTAAGCGGAAGCGAGGCAGGGTAGCTCGCCGGGTCATTGAGTCTCCCTCCCCCTCCCCCTCCCCCATCCCCCGCCCTCACAGCAGCACAAACACCTGATGCATTCAGGCTGTGCTAAACTGGTCACCACACGCCCCATTAGATCAATGTAATGGAGGCGGATCATAGACCTGTTGGTGTAGAGGCCAGGTGTGTTTTTGCATGTGTGTGTGTGTGTGTATACGTGTATGTGTTTGTGTGAGCATCCAACCCATGTGCTAATACTGTTTATCGAAGGTTCATCATTTTCAGTGTTTACCAACTGCTAAAAAAATGGACATTTACCTTTACTTACCTAACATATATTATTTTGCTTTGTACTTTGTTCCACTACAATTCAGAGGGAAATAATGAACTTTTTATTGCTATTTGATAATCTTTGCTTACAAGACATATAAAGCTTATAAAATATGTTTTGTTATAAATTATAACGACCCAACAGTTTATACAAGAACAGCTGAAATGATGTGTTAATCGATAAGTCGTAGTAGTAATGAACTATTTTGATGATTGTTCATGCAGAAATGTCCTTGTTCCAGCTTCTGTGATGTCAGGATTTCCTGCTTTTCCTTTAAATTATTGTAATGTTTTGAATGTATTTTGTCATCATTTTTGTCGTCAGTTCAGAGTGTAAATGTGTCTCTGTGTGTGTCTTCACTGTGCAGGGCTTGCTGTCGGAGATCCTGCGGAAGGAGGAGGACCCTCGCACAGCCTCGCAGTCTCTGCTGGTGAATCTGAAAGCGATGCAGAACTTCCTCAACCTGGCTGAGAGCGAGAGAGACCGGATCTACCAGGAGGAGAGGGAGCGCACCATGAACCCTTCAGTCGGCCTTCCCGCCTCCAACTCCTCCAACCCCGGACCTCCACGCCTCCCACAGGTTGGTGTTCCATAAAAGTCTGGGGTTGGGTCAGGATACTTTGAAATGTAGTCAGCAGCTGAAAACAAACTCCGTGGCAATATTTTTAAACTAATAATTCACATTTTTGGGTTGTCTGTCGGTCCGGTCTATTCTCATGAACGTGATACCTCAGGAAGCGTCCACTTGCACTCGAGGTTGAACTGATGAGAATTTGGAGTTCAAAGGTTACTGTTACTGTGATCTTTGGTCATAACTCAAGGATTCATATGCTAATTAGGACAAAAGTGATGATATTTTGGACAGACATGGAGGTGAACTGCAACATGACGGATTGGCGGAAGCCTACACTGGCAAAGCAGTAATTCTAGTTGTAAATAGGAACATAATCCATTGGATTACAAAAAAAATAACCAAATCTGAATACTTTTGGATTACTTCAAAATCAAACATTGAAAATATTGCGTTTTATACACAAAAAAAAAAATGGCGGCAGCCGCAAAATTTCTAGACAAATATTGTCTCTTTAAACATCTCAAAACATGTTCAATGCAAATACAATGCATTTGTCATATTAAGCATTTACAGTTGGTCAAATCAACAAATTACAAAAAAAAGCAGTTCTGGCACACGCTAGAAAATCTACAACATGATGTTTCTTTTCTCTTAAGTGTCTCTTGCTCCTGTTTTCTAATGAAATTGAGGACTTTTTGTTTTTGTCCCGCAAAAAAATGTTCATCTTCATCTTCATCTTCCATTTGCAATGTCAATAAAAAGGAATAAAAACTCCAAAACATAAATCATGATTAAAAAAACAAACCGAGAAGTCACCTTTAACAAAACTGACAACCTGAGAGGAGTAACTTTGATATACAGTAGAAGATATTCGGCAGTAATCCTCGACAAAGTACCTGTAATTATATTTTATTCTAATGTAATCTGAGTTAATTATAGTTTATTATTTTTTGTAATCTGATTAATCCTGATTACATGTTGTCCGTTATGGCTGCACGTAGTCGGTGGTGCCGTCAGTGTGTTGTTGAGCTTTGAATGATGATGCATGTGTGTAATCATTGTAATCCGATTGTAACGCTTGTGTGTGTGTGTGCGTGTGCATAGAAAGTGTGGGAGTGTGGGAGGCTGGATGACCAGATAACCCCCGATACCTGGGCCTCCATCTGGAAGAACAAGACTAAGATCTCTAACTCGGTGAGTAATCTACCATCTTCAACTTTCCCCTCACAAAGCAGACTGCAACGCGTCATGCACTGCATCCTAAACCCTCGAACAGCTTCCATTTATAATGAAAAAGCAGCTTCAAAGCCATCGTAGGAGCATACTGTAAACATAAAGCACATTATGGAGTATTTGGACGTTTCTCTGCATGTGCACATAACAATTCAGTGATAAGACGTTCCCTCTGATGTCAGGGCAGATGGCCATTCATGGCTGTGGGTGAATTTTGTGCGCTATTCTTATTATGTCTATGTAAAATAATCTCAGCATCGTTTACACTGAGGGAATGTGAGCTGGCTGGCCTGTACATGTCCGGACTTCAAACGCTGTGTATACAAGCTCTCCGAGACCCAATACATGTTCGCTCAAACAGAAACAACAAAGAAAGACAAAAGAGGAGGACTTAATGACTTTGATCTGTAAACACAATTCATGTGGAGACGTGCGCTGCAGATGTGCGGCCGATGCTCGCACAGGGAAACACGGCACGCCTGTTCTGGGAGCAGCTCGGCCCGATCGTCAGCTGATAACCTTTCCTCATATGTTTACATCTGATTTGCTTTTGTGGGTAAACGCTTAGTAGTTTTACAATATACACGAGTCTTTATGATATTTCCCGTCATCCGAACTTATCTAATCTCCTTGTTAACGTCAACCATTCAAAGTCCCTTTATTTTTTGATCCCATAATGTGTACCACATCATCACCGTGAGTCCTCTCTTTTCCAGCCAAAGCCGCCAGGCCCGGCCCCCGACCTCTCACTGAAGCTGGAGTCGCTGCTCAACATTACGTCCGGCATCTACGACGAAATTCAGCAGGAGATGAAGAGAGCCAAAGTGTCTCAAGCGCTGTTCGCTAAGGTGGCCGCCAACAAGAGCCAGGTGAGGGGGGAAAGGAAGAAGCCACGAAAGTTTGCTCTTCGGAATGATGAAGTGAGACAGTGAGATATTCGCTGCTCGGTTAGATATCGATATCAAAACAGCTTTAAAAAGCTCATGAAAACCACAAAACGTTGTGCGTTCAGAGCCAAAACACACTTCTGCAGAGACCAAAGCTGGAGCGCTGCCACGTTGTACACAGTCAGTCATCGGCCGGTTCAGCCGTCACTCGGCTGGTGATGAACAGCTCTGTTTGTTTTCTCAGAGCTCTGATAACATGATGTACTGCAGTGCTGCAGCTATTTTAATGAATACGTTTTTCTTAATTTTTTCTTAATTTCTCTAGAAACTGTACCTCATGTTCTTGTTGTTGATTTGTTTATGAGAGGACTTTCTAAAATTTCTCATTTCCCCGCGAGCAAATCATTTATTGTATTTTGTTAGCTCCATAACATCCATTTACAGATTTACAGTCCCCTCCGTACCCGAGAGGATTGTTAATTGATTGATTGGCTAATTTATGATTCTATTTTTATTTTTTATAAACTTGCCAGAAAAACTTGATTAATTAAGATGCTTAACGGTACAAGTTAATAATATAATAAAACAACCTAAATTTATTTCATGAACACAATACAAATACAAGTAAAGAAACAAATAATCACAATAAAGAAGCAAATGCATGCTAACAATGCTAATTGTAAAAAATAAAAAAATTAAAAGATGTGCTGGGCTTATTAGGTCGTTTACTCCTTACAACATGTATTAATCTTATAGCAATATATGGCTATTTTATATCTAAATATCTGGAATTATAATGAAAATATCTTCATATTTGACGCTGTAGTTCTCTGGTTTTAAGTCTTAACTTCTCTATAACATCTGCATTCAACAAATGTGGGCCCCTAGAAACCTTCAATATATTAGCAAAGGCGCCATGCAGCTTCTCTACTTTGCTGCTTGCAGACATATAAACAAGGATTCAAACGCTTAATATTTCCCGAAGCACATTTCAATCCCACACGCTCTCTAAACTTGCATGTTGTTTACTCTCTTCAGGTCAAAGGAGAGGTCGGATGTGACGGGAAACAAGGACTCAATTAGAGAAAGAATATGTGGAAATACAAAAAACGCTTCCATCTTAAATATATTTATCTATAAAGAGAGCTAAATACCTTCATTTATGGATAGGGTCCAGGTGTAAGCGTGAGAAAGGTAATGTGTAGAGACGTATGCATCATGTATACAGTACATGCATGCTGGTTTGTGTGCAGTCGGCGAAGTCCCCCAGGTTGGTGGGTCTGGGGGTGGCTGAGGGTCACGGCTCAGTGCACCCATCTGCTGCAGCTGGCCACAAGGACAGAGAGGGAGGAAGAGAGAGATGATCAGGCTATTAGCGGTGCATGCTGCCCGAGGTGGCTGGTTGAACACAACAGCTGGTGTCACAAACCGAACCAGTCTAGCAGATATAATTGAATCTTCTCCATCTCCCCCCCCCCCCCCATCTTCCCCTCCTACACTTACCTCGCACACTATGCACATTTCTAACTTCTTTCAACTCTTTTGCTAAATTTGATCCCCCTACATGCTCACAATGTGTCTGTTCCTTCCTGTATATCTTTATATTTTAACTCCTGCTTTCTCTCATGGTCTTCATCCTCCTCCTTCTTCACCCGATGTCAATGCGAGTAGGTTAGAGGTGTTGTTTCTTGGGCTTCACAGCTGGAGAATGCCAATAAAATAGTTCATAGAACAGGAAATACAAGGATGGTCCACTGTGATATTTTTTCAGGGGGAACAGAACCCCCTTCTGTTTCAAAATCGGACTAGTCTGACAAGTACACATAGAGTTAGACAAGAAGATTGATACTATTCTAATAACTTTATGGTAAAAAAATAAAGCTACAGCCAGCAGCATGTTAGCTTAGCATAAAGACTGGAAACGAGGAAACTCTCAGTGAATCACAGGCAGCAACCTCCGGTTCTGAAAAGAGAAGTGTGTCAAAACTTGAATTCTCTCTAATGGCCACTCTGGTTTTAAAAAGAAGTCTGGTTGTATAGAAGTCTATGAGACAATGACTCTACTTCTCTCTTGATTTATTACCTCAGCAAACATTGTAAACATGAGTTTATGGTCTCAATCTCTAGTTTCAAGTCTTCTTCAATACTGCATGGTGTTCATTTAGTAGATTATGGTCCATTTAGAGTCACACAGACCATAAAGCAGGGGATGCTTTAGGGCGGGACTACCTTGTGATTGACAGGATGCTGCCACAGCGGTGTACGTCGTCTATACCACAGCGTCACTCCTCCGCAGTCCAAATATGGTCACTTCTGTTCGCTGGTTGCAAAAAAACAAACAATATGTCGACGGTCAAAATGTCGAACTTGAGGCTTCAAAACCTCTGTTTAACCCTCACCTTCTGTCTCCAGGGCTGGCTGTGCGAGCTGCTCCGGTGGAAGGAGAACCCCAGCCCGGAGAACCGCACCCTGTGGGAGAACCTGTGCACCATCCGCAGGTTTCTGGCGCTGCCGCAGAATGACAGAGACCTGGCGTACGAGGAGGAGTCCAGACACCATCACTCAGAGAGGATGCACACCGTCCTCCACCTGCCCCAGGACGCACAGGTAAGAACCACACATGTTTACAGCTGGTGTCCACGTGCACCTCATATCTCCGTGTCCAGATGTTTGTAACACCTGGCATCACAATGCACCTCCGGTTCACGCATTGAAAACAGATTTCCTGCACATGTCACCTCATCTCACAATATTTACATCTGTTGAAATTGACTGTAAACACCTTTTCTTACTTCACCACCATGTACAAGTACACTGAAAACTTATTTTTACCAGATCTCCTTGGACCTTGTTTTCATTTTGGGTCGGTGTGCAAAAGCGAATTCTCCATTCTGAAACAAAAAATCTGTACAAAACCCGAAGTTATTTTCTCGCATTACTCCCAGTGAGACCACAACTTGTGCTTTTTACACTTATTGTTTAGTGCTGATTAAAGACGAGATAAAATGTGTTTATTAGTGCACACAGATAGGCTAGCTGTTTCCCTCTGTTTCCAGTCTTCGTGCTAAGCTAAGCTAACCATCTGTTGTTTGTAGCCTTTTATTGCCAAAAATACAGTATGTTCAACAAGTCCTTTATAGTAAGACCATTCTCCAGCACCTACAAACATAAGCATATACACTACATGTACAGACTAAAAACTAGTATCAGGATCAAAATATACTCAAATTACAAAAAGGAGATGTACTCATGATGCATTCATATTCATCACTTAATTGCTAGAGCAGTAAAAAGTACAATATTTCCCTCTGAACTGTAGTGGAGTAGAAGTATGAAGTAGCAGAACATAAAAAAACTCTAGTAAAGTACCTCAAAATTAGTACTAAAGTTCAGTACTTGATTAAATGTACATATTTACTTTCCACCACTGCCCATGATAGCAAAGGATATTTTTGAACACACACTTTACAAGTCAGAAAAATCCAGTAACAAAAAGAATCCTCATTATATTCATTAGATGATGTACCGTTTGATGTCGTGTGTGTGTGTGTGTGTGTGTGTGTGTGTGTGTGTGTGTGTGTG